AAAATTATAGTTATTAAATTATAAAAATTTGTTAAAATGTATATTTTCTATTAATGCACACCCTCTCTAAATGCACTTTTTTACTCAGTCCCAAAGGTGTACATTTAGAGAGGTTTGACTATATGTCAGTTATATCTAATATACCAGTTATGTTACATATGTCTGACATGTCTAATATATCAACTATATTTAATATATCAACTATGTCAACTATGTTTAATATGTTAACTATGTTACATATGTCACATATGTCTAACATGTCGTATATTTCAATTATGTCAAATTAGTCAATCTTCTGTGTCACATAAGTTGTGTCACATTTATCCGTTCACAATATTATATAAAACTAATTCTAATATCTGTTATAATCTGTATTATACATTTACTATAAGTAATTAATTTTAGTCTCTTTTTTTATATTTACCTTTCTTATATTTATATCTAAACTTTAAAGTTAATACTCAGATTATATTTTAAATTAATCACTTATGTATTATAGTATTTAAAATTTAATCTTATATAATCATTATTAGTTTTATAATAAAATTTTCTTTTATATTTATCATAGAGTAAATTTTTATTCATCTCAGAAGGTAATACTTCTTATATAATACCTTTATATATATACCCTAAATCTAACTCTATACTATGTGATACTAACTTTGTAAATAAATAAGATTTCACACATAAAAAGATTTTCTAAGTCCCTGAAATATATATGAAAAATGAAAAAGAAAGGGGGTGTTATACAGGTGACAAAAAAGAGGCGATGATATCATATCTAATGAATAAATTTACTTTTTATCATATCATTATTTAATATATTTAATAATAAAAACTTTTAAAAATTTTTTGAATTTAAAGTATTTTTTTATATCTTAAAATTAAATAAATATTTTATTTTCTTTAAATATCTTAACATTCAGTAGAATAAAATATATATTATTGTAATACTTTAATTTAATAAATATATTAGTACTATTTTTATAAAATTTTGATAAGTAAATTATATTTACATTTGAGATTTTAGTTTATTATTTATTTAAAATTAGTAATACAATATGATAAATTAAACTTTAAATTTTTTTTCTTTATTTTTTCATTGGTATTTTCTTTTTTTAGGTATTTTATATTTATAATATTATATTTCTTCTTTCTTAAATATTCAAAATTATTTGTTACTTATTAATATAACTATAAGTAATTAAATATTAATATTTTTCTTAATGCTTTAAATTCTTTTTATTTTTATTATCTAATTATTCATTTTCATTCTAAAAAATTTAATTGCATAAATTTTACATTGCTAATTTAATTAAATAAGTTAAAAAAATATTAGTATAATTTAATATAAATTAAATAATATTTATTAAATATTTAAAAAATATATATATTTTAATAATTATAATTCAAAATTCTTTAAAATTTATTTAAATTATTATTTGAAGATTTATTATTATTTATTATATTTTAATATTAGTTTTTAAATATTAAATATTAATTTTTAAATTTTTTTTTTTAAAAAAAAATAAATATATATATATATATATATAATTTCTTTATATCTTTATTTATATAAATATTATATATTTTGATTTTTTTATTATTCTTAATTAATTTAATATTATAATTTCTATATATACTTTAACATGAATTAATGAATTATTAATTAAAATATATTTTAACAAAAGTAATTATTTTAATTATTTTAATTAATAAATGTTGAATTGACATAATTAATTTTGATATTATTAAAATTAATTAGAATTAAAATATATTTTTATAGCTTATAATTCTTAAATTATAATTTTTCAACTTCTTATAATTAAAATCTTATAATTTATAAGATTAAATTTTATTAATTAGCAGATTTATATTTAAATTCTTTAAATATACTTTATTAATATAAGATTTCTTAAACCAAATTTCAATTTTTACTATTAATAAAAATAAAAAGTTAATAAAAATTGTTTAAATTAAATAAAATAAAAATTATATATTTCTTTTTTATATTTTTATAATAAAATTGTATGTATAATAATTTTCATAATTATTATTTATATTTATTTGATTATATTTTAGCTTTTTTATAATTATTTAATCCTTGATAAAGATATACTTAAGATTACTAAACAAACTAAAGATTTAGCAAATCATCTAAATAATAAAAAGTAAAATTTAATAAAAATATTTTAAAATCTTATTAAAAATCTGCAAAAGTTAAAATTATATCAAAGCGTATAAAAATATATCAAAACTTTAATAAAATAAATAAAATTAAAGGTTTATACATTTTGCCAAATCTAAAATAGATTTATATAAATAATCTTTTTATTTTTTAAATTATCTTAATTAATGAATTTTTATTGCATTATGAAGAATATAATCTTTTAGATATTAATCTATCTATAAATTTTAAGTTAAATTTTGCAAAATTTTAATCATCAATACTTTTATTAATTAATATGTTAAATTAATGATAAGATATTTTTTACTCTTTTAGATTTTAAAAAAATAATGATATATATAAATCTTATATATTGAACAAAAAGCATTAAAACACCTACAAATTTAACTAAAGTGTTTGGTTTGGATGCAGTAAATATGAATTTAAATTTAAATCGCAGTACCAAATATGATTAAAAAGTACACTTATTTTACTTGTAATAAATTATATATAATTGCAATGAAATTATAATAGATGAAAAAAAAGACAGAAGAAAAGAATTAAAATTAAAATTAAAATTTTTAGAGGTTTGAATGTGTCGATTTAGCATATCAATTAGCTGATTTTCTACGAATTGGACAAGATCCGAATACAAATTTTCATCATCCGTCAGGATAATGTTGTATTCGGATATTCTCGCCCTTTTTTTTGCAGGATATGAAAAAAATGTCGTAGATGGGATTACCAAGATACCAATCGTATCTTTGTGGTACTTGGATAATACCCCTTCAAGCTCACGCACAACATCAATCTCTAAAACAGACGTGAACATTGTAGTCGATATTTATAAAAAAGTCTCTTTATTCATTTATACATACTAATTTTCCCTTTCCAATTCTTGCATTGGATTATAAATGGAATTCTAAGAAAGTTCCCTTCTAGATCCACCCCACCGTCTCCCGGTTTGTGTCTAAATTGTGAAATAAACAATGAGTATTTGCATCATCATCGTCAAGAACTAAAGAAGAACGTTCGCAGTTGTTTAGCTGCGGCCACGATGTGCTTTCGATTCAATAGTTCAATGTATCTTATTCACCACGAGCCCCCGGCGCAAGGCCTTATTATTCACTTAAGAAGTTCAGGGATTTATACCCAAGGCGTCGCTTATACAGTAGCTTTTCGGACACGGGAATGAACGTTCATAGCAGGCCGTCCACCTTACGTCAGGTCTGGTTACCCAACTGGTAACTTTCGCAAGCTATGGCCACGATGAGCTTTCATCTCCCGAATTTACACCTAGTGGCAGCGTAACTTCAGATACATAACAACTCAACAAATAACCCAGTGAAAAACTCACTTTCTTTCATAGCATTCGATTCTATAATCTTCTAAAATTCTGTTAACTTTTTGCTCGAATTGTTTTCCTTTAGCGACTGAAGACACATTTGTCATATTGAACATATAGGACATAAATATTTGACAATTTTTTTTTTTTCCTAATTCACATGTCGTACAACAATCAATTGCATAATTGCATGTCGATCGAACATCTATGATAGAATTAAATAGTCATGCTTTTTTCATGATCTACTATCGTACTATCGATCAGAAGTAACTATAGCTCAAAGGACGGGTACTGCTTTCTAGTAAATTGGAAAAATAAGATCTGGAATTGGTTAGATATATTTTTCATAATGGAATTTCAGGAGAAGCATTTGATCAACGGTTCATCACTATAAATAACTTGTAGATTTGCATATCTACTAAGCCCTTTATAAGTCTTTTTCTTACAAAAGAGGTAAATATAAATATATTACATTAATTCTTTATAATAAAAAAAATTACTTAACCTTGCAAATTATAACAATCTATTAAAATTAAGTTATTAAGAATATTGAATTTTTCATATAAATAAATTATATTATAAAAAACTATTAATCATTTAAATTTAATAACAAATTATTTAATTCAATTATTTTTTCTATTAATTTAATAAAAGAAAATAAGTTGCTTTTATTTCTAATAATATCTTTTAAATAATAAGAATTTTATATATTTTTTCAATAAATTATAATGCAAACATAGTTTATACAATTATAAATTAAAATAAGTATCATAATTTATAATATTATATTATATATTTTATAAATTTAAAGATTATAATTTATAATATTATATTTATATATATTATAAATTTAAAGATTTAAAATTTACAATAACCACAATAGTTATAAGTAGAGTTTAAAATATAAAAATATGTATAATTAGTATAAAACTCTTATAATTATTGCAATTAAGAGTTTATTAATAACAAATGAATGAATTTATAAAATTCCTATATAAAATTAAATTTAAAAAAAATACTTATATTATAAAAAAGATATTTATGAAAAGTTCATTATTATTAACACTTATTTTTACTTTCTACTTTTCTTAACCTATTTACTTTTTTATTAAAGTTAGAATTATCAATCAATAACTTATATTTAATTAATTATATATTTATTTCATAAAAATCATCATAATATTTATTGATTTAATGATATTTATTGACAATTACAGAATAAATAAAGAAATATTATTTACTAATACTATTCTTAGAAAGAAATTTTTACAAATTGATATTAATAAAACATATTTATGATATAATAAAAAAAATATTATTATATTTAAATTAATCTAAAATTTTAAGTAAATATATAGTTTAATGCATTGTTATAGAAAGATATTAATCCAAAAGATCATGTGATACATGTGACTAAAAGGCATATTAATTGCATCACATTAGACGACAAAGATGGCGAAGATGAGAGAAATGAATTAAACAAAAGTTTCACAAAATCCCAGAAGTCGCCAGAAAATTCTATTATATTATTAATTATTTTGTATTATTAATTATTTATTATTTATAATCAATTAGTATTTTATTTATTTATATTAGCAAATTTAGTATAAATAGGATAGCTTTAGGACTTGGTTAAGGCAGACAACTTTGAGTAGCAATAAACAGTAGTAGATAACAAGAGATAATAATTTGTGAACAATTAGAATTCAATTAGTTTTTATCACTAACAAGATAAATACTAAATAACAATTATATGCTAACAAATATAATTGTATCAAATTCTTTATTACTTAATAAAATCCTAAAGTTTATTCTAAATATACTATTATTTAAAGTAATAATTATTTGTAAACCCTTAAGAGCTCTTCCTAAAAAGTATTTAATAAAAGCTAAATCCCTTTATTAATCTTGCATTAATACTAATTTTCAATCATTAGTATCATAAGATAACAGCATATTAAAGATTATATAAATAGTTCTGCTTTTTTTTTAATTTATTATTAAAAAGTAATTTATATTTTTTAGTTTAATATCTTAAAATCAATACTTTTTATCTTATATTGATAATAAAATAAGTTAAAATATAAAATTATAAATTCAATATTTTATACTTTATTCTTAACGATCAAATAGACTATGAATAGTAATACAAATTTGACTTTATGGTCAACTTTAATAATCAAATAATAAGTTAATCAAATTTTTTAATAAAATCTATTAATATGTTAACAGAATGATGAAATAACCTATACATTTTTATAGTAAAAAGTATAATAAAAAATACTAATATATAGCTAATAATTTAGTAATAAAAAGAATATAAAACATTTACTATTTTATAATTTTAATTTATGAAATAGTTAAATAATTAATTTAATTTAAGTTAATTATAACTAAATTTCATAATTATGATATATGATTATAATCAACTAATAATTTTAATATTTTAATTATTATATTTAAATAAGAATATTAATATAATTTTAAATAATTTAATATTAATAAAAATATCTTTAAATAAAATAATAAATAATATAAAATCTAATAAATTTAATATGTAATTTAAAATTATTATACTTTAAAATTTCAATATCTACTGAATTTAGAATCCTTATTATTTTTGCTATAAATTAAATTAAATATTTTTAAATTTGAATATCTTAATTATAAAATTAAATCTAATAGTATATAAATAAAATATTTATTTTTTATTAAAATTAAATTTATAATATTAAAATTACACTTTTAAAATATATAATCTTTTGATTAAAATCAAATATCCTTATTAATTTTGATGATTATATAACTGTAAAAAGAAGATGTTTAAATTTGAGATTTTATGATAAATAATATATATTTTTATTTAAGAAATAATTTATTTATTACATGTGTATGATATATCACCTTCTTTTTGTTACTTATATCATATTCTTTTCTTTTCATTTTTTATATATATTCTGATGACTTACAATGCAAAATCTCTATAATAAGAATTTACTATAGTAAAAATGAAACAAATTTAAAGGTCAAAATAAATTTTATTAAATATAAAATTGAAATTTTAATCCATAAAATAAATAAACTTATACTTTAAGAATCTTAAATTAGAATTTTAATATTTTCAATATTGATAAAGTTATATCAAGTTAAATTTATCCAAAATTAATTATAAAAACTAATTAAAAAAAATATGTAATGATAAATTTATAAAAATTATTCTTTATTATTCATATAATTTATCTTAAATATTGAATTATATAAAGATATATTAGGATATAATAAAAGAAATGCATTATAATTACATATGAATTAGATTATAACAAATTGTTTCTAAAGCATTAGATTTAGTTTTTTTTAATTACAATTCAAAAAATATGCACAAAAATTATGGCAATATATGATTATTTATAGAAAAGGTATTAGTAGAAAATGACAGAGATTACAGCTAAAAAACATATATCTTATTGTTATATATCTGATGCAATTTATAATAAAATAATAAAATAAAATAAAATAAATTATTTCATATGATTTTTAATTCTAGTTTCTGATTGGCTCATATATATGTTACACGATGCTTACATAATTTACAAAATTGAAAAAAATAATTTTTTTCAATTTTTTTTATTTGATTAAAATCTAATCACAGGATTAAATTTTATTAATGTTTTTTTTAGAAATTTTTTTGTTGAAAAAAAAAATATTCTTCAACATGGTGTTAAATGTCACATGTTTTAATTTTGCCCTGCATTACATAATTTGCCCAGAGGCTTAATTTTATTAAAAAAATGATAAACAAATTTTTATATATAAATTAAAAAGACCGTAAATTATTTATAGAAAAAATTTACTTGTAAACCTTTTATTATACAATAATAATCTCTTATCTATTCTTGGAAAAGATTCTTATCAAGCTGAGATTCCTGTTATAAATCTAGTTCAATCTTTTTGTTTTGCTAATTTAAGCACCAATAATTAATTTTTCAAGTATGACAATGCAAACACCAAAGTTGTGTTAACCATTTGTTATTATTAAATGAAAAAAATAATTTCAAAAAAGACTAGTTAAAAATAATTTTCGGATTAAATTCCATGAAATCTTAAAACGTCCGAATCAAAATCTTTCGCAGTTTTTCTTTTAATAAAATAGTTAAAGAAAAACAGTAAGATGGCAATATACCACTTTCGTAAGATAAACGTCTACGTTGCGGCGTTTCTCATTGCTTTGCTTATTTTCCTGCTGTCTTCACCATATGTAGCTCAGTCTAATCTTGGAACATTTGACCCGGATGGCAACAATTTAACACCACCTACATCTGAGGTAAAAGACAAAGACGCTCCTTTTAGCGAAGATCCTCCAAACATGTCTGGGCATTATAATTTATTGCTTGTAGTCACTTCTACAATTGACGCCATCCGTCAAAGGAAGTTATTAAGAGAAGCATTATTTGGTATCAAGAATAACTTAAAGCCGTGTACTCGGCAGGATGGTAATGTTTATTATAAATTTGTGATTCCGCCATATAAAATTGTAGAAAAAGGCACGTTAAGAGACTTTACAGCCGAATTTGTTGAATATGATGACATTGTCGAGTTTCCAAATATCAGCGGTCAAGGTTTTCAAGAGTCCATTCTTTCATGGGTAAGTAAATTAATGGTCAATATGATTAATAATTTCTGAAACGTCTTTTTTAATTTCACAATTTTGCAAATTTATTAATTATTAGGCGCAAGGTCTCGGAAAGAAAGGCATCACGTATAATCATCTTGTAATTATTAATGACAAAACTCTTATTAATCTTGAGAAACTTCAACAAATATTGGAAGGATCAGTCATTCGTGGAAGTACATTGACAATGACTCAAAAACGTATGCTTGTATGGGGTTCGTTTATGATGCTAGATTTTGATGACATGGCTATTATCCTTGGTCGCGATGCTGTTGCCCCCATTCTCGAATCAAAGAAAAGCATTAAAGTCGTCAACCGCAATTTTACAAATATGATTACGCGAGCTTTCCAATACTACCAACAAAATCCTAACGATAGCGGATTATTCCTTGTAAATGATGACGTTGGCATTGTAGAATTTCCAAACGCTATAGAAAACGTCCCAATCAAAACGACCGTAGCTGTAGGACATATATTCGAAGAAGACGATATGAAGTATTTATTTGAACACCTTTCCGTATCCAAAACTGTGATATGTCATCCTCGAAATGATCCAAATAAATTAAATATTGCCGTGGTCACTAGTAGTTTTGTTTATAACGATCTCTGTATGCTTCCCGCGGCTCGTCTTACAGCTGAGAATAAACGTCGTTATGCCGAAAGAAATGGATACTCTTTCGTAGCGAGATCTTCAGAATTTGCTAATCAAATTTACAAAAGTCGTAAAACTGTTTGGGGCAAAATCGATGGCGTCGAAAAAGTACTTCCACATTATGACTGGTTATTCTGGCTTGATATGGATACTGTAATTATGAATTATAATGTAACTGTCGAAAGCCTTATCGAGAAATTTACGGAACTTGTTGGTGGAAAAGAAAAATTTGAAAACAAACATTTGGTTGTTGCAAGACCATCGAACGATAGGATGATTAATGCCGGAGTGTTTTTAATTAGAAATTCTGAATGGAGCCGAGAATTTTTGAGACTTACACAAACGCGAAGAGATCTGTATAATAGTAGCATGTATGAACAACGTGCTATGTGGGACCTTATGCGACAGCCAGAATGGATTCCTGGTGTAAGTTGAAAAAAATATTTCTTTTGTTCAGAGATACGGCATTTCTGACAAATACTAATTAATTAATTTTATAACCAGACAATATTTTTAGACCAAGATGATCATACGTTTAATACTTTCCCTAAACGATATAATAAGGGCGATTTCGTGGTTCATTATGCTCCTGATGGATGTCCTTCCAAACCGATCCTTGATGCTATTGGCAAATATAATATATTAGAAAAAAATCCTGAAGTGGAGGTGTCACTTGACCATATAATGGATCATTGATTTTTTGTTTTATAAAAAAATCACTAAAATGGTATAATCAAAATAATTCAATGAAAATTGGTCGAGGTAAATTATTTGAAATGTTAAAAGGAATCTATAATATTACAGACATTAATTGTACAAAAAAAAAGGAAATGTTTTATCCATTTCCTACGAAAATTTATTGCACAAAATTAAATGATAAAGTAGATTCTCTAAATATTTGTAGCGATCTTTTGTATTCTTCTTTTCTTTTTTAATCTCTAGATAAATTTTGTAATGTTAAAAATAATATATAAATGTATAATATTTTTCTTTTTAAAACACATGATATTACATATAATAATAATATTTCTAATAATTTACACTATATCGATCGAATTTCAAAACAAAAAATAAATAATTTTCAAAGATAAATATTAATTTTCTTTTATTCAAGATCATATGTTTTAAATGTAACGTCAATCCTTGCGAGCGAATTCAAACGAGCGGTAACGAAGACCACCCGTCATAAATTCAAACGACGCACCCGAGATTAAAGTCAAAAGTTTATTCTCCAATTCTGAGACGACTTTATTCGTCCTCGATAAATCTTTTGAAGAGATTTATCTGATGAAAAAGTGCTTTTAATAGAATCGTTATTATTTATGCGTTGTAAAGATTTTAAAGACGACGACAATTGATCATATATAATAAAAAGTTTTAAACACTTGAAAATTATGGGACAATTTTTTTTATTGAATTTTAATTACACAACTATAGTAATGATTTTCGACACCCACGAATGTTAAATCTTCACGCCCATTCCCGCTTTAATATTTATAAAATAATTTCCTTTTCAAGGAAAATTCAAAAAATTTTTAATCCCACTGCAATGAGGCACCCACACGGAAACCTTTAGTAAAAGGCGAAAGGTTTATACGATCTGCAAGTACCTCGTGGGAAACGTTAGTGACCAAAGGAAGCGATTTGCTTTTTATTTATGTTAAAAACTTGTAATTTTAGAAATTATGGGATTATCCATTTCATGGCGCAGTATAGCGCGATATGTACTTTTTCAATAAATATGCGGGTTCGGAGATTTGTATTTGGTAACACCTAAACACCGAAAATGCGCATTGGCCATTTATAGGTGGTCTGATAATATATAAAAACCAAAATCTTATCATGAAATTTTTCGCAAATCGTAAAATATGAAAGCTATCAGAAATTTTCATTTAGATACTGTCGCAACCGACATTCGTCGTAATCTCACTTCAATAAATTCTATAGGTAAGTGTTTTTTTTTTTTTTTTTGATGTATCAATAAATATTCATACTTTTTTATTTGTTTATTTATTTATTTATTTTTTTTTTTTCACCCATGTTCATTCTAGTAAATAATGATACCAAGCATTTGACTAAATTGCTTGCGGCGGAACGTGGGGTGTGTGATTCTCTAAGTACTCTGACATATGAACAAAATGAAGCGGCAAAATATCTTAGCATTTGGGGGAAAAGCGAAGACGTTGATTTAGGTGATATTACCGAGAAACTAGCTCTTTTATTTGCAAAGTTGTCGGAATACGAAGGTATTCTTGGTAAGTTATGAATTCTTACACGTATATATTAATTCGATAAAAAAAAATATACATACATACATATATATTTATTTATTTAAAAAGGGTATTTTCAATTAATTTAGCGGAACGTTATGCCCAATATCGTGGACATTTAAAAGATATTCGTTCACGTGAAGAAACAATGAGAGAGAATCGACTCAAGAAGGAATCTCTTTGGAATAAAATCGAAAAAGAAGAACGAAAGGCATCTCATTCAAAACATCCCGAAGCTGCCGAACAAAAGCTTAAAGATTTCCAGAAGGAATTGGAAAAGGTCGAAAAGGAATCGCTTGAAGGTAATTTACAAGTGTAAAAAATTTTTTTTTAAGTTAATCAATTGATCAATTAATCATAATTCTTTTAGTTCACATTAATAAATAAATAAATTTATATATATATAGAGGAAACGGCTTTGGCGGATTTTAAACGTCAAAAATTACAAACAGCACTATTACTTCAATTAGATGGTTTTCTTGAGTTTGGTGAAAAGTTGCTAATTATAGCTAATTATAGTAAGGACATTGTTGAACAGATTTCAACAGAAACAACAACACCTGGCGAGCCCAGGAAGACATATACGGGTAATGAAAAAGATTTTAAAATATTTGCGTGATCTTAATTTCTTTATTAAAGTCCTCTTTGTTTTTTAATGCAGGTTATGAGAAAACTTCACAGGCTATTTCAAATGCTACTGCAGCTCTTTCTGCGTGGGCTCCTAAACATCGGCCAGATGATTCAATTACAACAACAGTAACTTCTGATGTAGACGTGCCTACGCCACTTACTTTCGACTCTTCAAATCGAAAACCTACTAGTGGATCTCCTTTAACTGATGATTCAAATGAAGCAGACCATAGCGATTTGGATCATTCTGAAGTAGAAACAGAAAATCCTAGAGATAAAAGCGATCTATCAACCGAAATCAAATCAGATCTCATAGAAACGTCAACAATAGACGATGAAGAAAATGAAAATGAATCTGTAGTTTTTTCATCAATCCCAAGACCTCCAACACCACCTAAAGTCAATACTGTAAAGTTCGAAGATTCAGAACAGGAAAGCCCGCCTTTAATAAAGGAACAAACTATTAATGAAAATGTTCAAACACTGTCACAAGAATCAACTGAAAATTCTCATGAAAAACTTGCAATACCTTCAACTAAAAAAACCAAATCGCATAAACAAAAAGATATGAAATATGTACACTTTAGTGATGTTGAAGACGAAATTCCGTAAAATTTCCGTAATTTTACACGAACATTTTATTGTAAAATTTTATATTAATTAGTTATTTATTATTTTTTTTATTATACAAGTTTTCGGCATCGGGTTCAATAAAATATTTTTATAAAGCCTGTCCTTGTGAGGACATTTCAGATGGTTAAGAAAATAATCATTTCCACCAATAAATGTGACCTTAAATTTTATTCGTTTTGTTTTTGTCGGGGAAAAAAAAAAATTATACTACGCGTTATCATTACTTGTGAACTATTTTAAGCTTTTGATGCAGAACCGCTGGTTCCCTCTCCACCTGCTGTAGAATTCTCTTCACTCGCAATTTCAATATCACCTGAATCTGGAGGTATGGTCCCAAATTTAGAGAGATGTAAAGCTGCTTCGATAGGTTTAAGAAGCTATAAGATAAAATCGCAAAAATAAAAATTTTATCTTACGACGATTTCGTATGTTTCTCTATTGTATAAAACTAACCGGGTCAGTTACATAATCGTCACAAGCATAACACCAAGTAGAAAGATCGCTAAAAGAAACGGATATTGGATGAGAAGTTCCTTGATTATGTTCAGCGGCGTGACCTTTGATATACCTATTGATATTAATTGAATCATACATTATTTTAAATACAATAAATTGAAAGATGAAAGTGTAAATTACAATAAATTACCTGCTACAAAATACACCTTGACATTCTAAGCAGCGCCAATTCTCGCTAGCATCGTTACAAACGGTGCATGGTTTACTAACATCTACTGTAACTTTAGCCCAATCCGGAGAGACATGATCTTGAATGTGCGGACAATTGGTACGACGATTAACCGGATATCCTGCTTGAGAAGGTACTATTGGCATATTAGAAAAATGAAAGATAGATGCTCCGTGCGTGAAAAATGATTGAATAGAATTTATTCAAAGTTGCATGAAGATCGGATAATTTTAGCCTGCAGATCAGATCCAATTAATTCCCATTGCCTTTTTATTGCCAAATTTAGAAAGTCGGAGCTGTAGTTGGTTGAACTTCGCAAATTTGTAAAAATATAATTACAAACAAGCACAAAAGTGTTACATTGAAGTGTTGAAACCTTTCAATCAACTTTTTTTTTTTAAAAAAAAATATATATACATATATACTCTTTTTCTTTCATAAACTGTTTTCACCACTTTTAAAAATCCTACTAGTTCGCCATCCGGAAGGGGCATCCTATTGATTTTATAATATAATTCCACTCGTTATATTTCTTTTGTCTAATTCATAAGACAAAATTCCCACTATTTTCCTTTTTACCGCTCTTTTAATCCTATATTCCAACTTATTCGAATGAGTCTGTCTTGCGCTGGAGTTTGTCAAGGCTGGATAAAACATGCCACCCTTATAAATAACTGTTATCCTACAGGTCCAGGGGAGACGCTTCCAAAGTCAAGCGAACTTTCTTATCTCGTTTTTTATGCTAACTCGAAGCCTGCTAAACTAACTAAATGTGGTGTTTATCTGGAAAAAAGGGTAGCCACTGATGTTCGAAAGAGAAGAAAACAGTAAGTTTATAAAACAATCAACTATTATTTAATAGAATTATTTCATTTATTAAGGTTTTTTTTTTTGATTAATTTCTTATTTAAATTGAATTTTTCAGGGATACAGAAGTATCATTACAAATTATCAAGGTTCTTATTGATGAATGTAAAAAAGATCTTAACTTGTTCTCAAAAAATGTTGTCAAGATTATTGCGGCTTCCTTAAGTACAAATGATATCGATTTGGTTTCACGTGCTACATCAGTGGTTTGTAATCTTAACATAAAATGATTTTCCATTTTAAATAAAGATAATATTAATATTTATCATTGGTTGATTAATAGTTCATTACTTTTTGCGCATATCACAATGGGTCTACACTCGGAGTTGATACAGAATTTACTTCCATTTATGAAAGCTTGATCGACCAATTTGCTAAATATGCTACGTGTAAATATGGTGATCAAAATTTAGATCAAAATTTAGAAAGAAGGTTAGGATATTAGTGACACTTTACATAAATTAATTTAATTACTTATGGTAAATATTTCCAAATTAGGTATCGTTCTATAGGTCTTTATGCTCTTCAAGGAGCAGCAACTTCCAGTGCTTTATATGCGTCCGATGCTAAAACACAATTGCAATATATCATCCCAGCTATATTACATAATTTAACTGAAGATAAAACGGGCTTAGAAGCTTTACAAAAAAAGTAAGTGTCATGAGGGTATTATTCAGTGAAATTCGCGTTTTTTTTTTTGTATATTGCATTGCAAATTCGAAAGATGATATTAAAAATTTTAATGAATTATTCAGCGTTAACAATCCGGCGGATTCTTCTACACCAAAATCGCGTCGATTTTCGGCTAGTATTGCAATGATTTCAACCGAAGATAATACTCTTCTTGCGTATCATTGTTTAGAACAATTGTTTACAATGTCAAACGCTTCTAATTTACGTTATAATCTCGAACCTACTTTTACAATTTTGGATGAAAATAAATTTTGGTGGCCAAGTTCGTTTGGCATTACCTTAATTTTGGTTATCCTTTCTTCCATTCAGGTAAAATAAATTGATCATTTTATTATTATTTTTAATACATAATTTCAAAATGTGTTAAACATTCGTAAATTTAATAGCAACAATACCGTCATATACTAGTTGGAGATATAATACAACGACTTGAGTCGTCAGAGAATTCTGATTTATCCAAAAAAATTACATTTATTGAGATGTTAACATCTATTTTAACGAGTGATTTAACACTTGTTGGACTTTCTGTATTAGAAGTTTTGGATTGTTTACTTAGTCATTTGTTAAATTCATTAAAAAATGATGATGTTAAATTTGAGCAAATTGACGTAGACTTAAATTTGAAAACAGATAATACGTTGACAGAAAAAGCTCAAGATTTGGATACGATATTTATACAGAGACTTATAATTTGCATTGGTAATACCTTAAAAAAATTTTTTTTCCCAATAAAAATGCTTCATTATGATTTTTCAAATTAACAACAAATTTATTTAACAGGTAGTCTCGCAACTCACATTTACTATGCCAACCAAATCAGTGATATCGTAGAACGTATTGTTCAACATTTAAAATTACAAGTTAGTACAGAATCTCAACAGGGTAGCAATAGCAGTAGCAGTTATATGACTGAAGGAATACCTCTTAGTTTATTACGTAAAGCGCTATTAAAATGTTTGAGTATGGTTGTACGGACCAATAAAGAAGCTGAGAAAAAGTCATCGGGAAATGCCAGAAGTGAAGTTCCTGTTGAAATATTTCATAATTCAATTGATTTATGCACGGATGAGGACCTTGGTAAGTGAATCATATTTGGCTGAAAAAATTCAATAAGTTTGATTTTTACTAATGTTTTATACCATAGGTGTAAGGATCGCTTATGCTCAAGTCCTTTCCACATTTTTAAATAATGTTAACACATCAGAGGATTCCAAGGAAATTGAGCCAATACAGGTCAAGAGATTCTTATTACTTTTATACTAAACACAAACCGTTGATTCAAACTCAAAACTAATTCAATATAAACTTTTTCAATTACAGATTACATATTTCAATCAACCTGCTATACACTTCCTGAATACTCTACATTTGACGTTATATAAATATACATTGTTAAATGATTCAAAACCTGGTGATAATTTAGCTTTACTCGTAATTTTACGTTCATTATTGATACGGTTTAGAGCTGATCAAATTGTTCGAGGAATTCCAGTTGTCTTCAAATTACAATCTGAAGCTAAAGACGAGAAACTTGATGGGTTTTCTCGTCAACGAGCTTTGGCTAGTTTGATTGTATTATACTTTTCTGATATTGCTCAGGTTTTGGATATTCCGGAATTACAACAATATATAGAAAAGGTACGTCTATCATTACGTTAATTATGCATATATTCGTATCTCGATGATTAATTACATTATTATTTTATTATTTATGAATTACAGATACGAAAGGAACGTATAGAAAAATGTCAATGGTCAACTTATTTTAAGACAACCTCCTCGGAAAATAATTTAGACAATGTAGATTTATCATCGACTTTTGAAGACGAGATCACTAATGAAAATAATCAACCTTTACAACCCGTTGATATTTGGCTTGATCGTCAAATTATAGTCCCTATGCTATGTAAACACAAAGAAATTGAAAATATTGGTGGTGCAAAATTAGAAGAAAAATTAATGGCAGAATGGAGACAAGAAGAAGGATTTGAGAAGGTCAAAAAAGAGGCTTATAAAATTAGGTCATCTAGAATATTAGAGACCGAGAAACCTAGATTAGTTGTCACTCCTTATATTATGAGCTTGGAAAATAGTTCCGATGACTTGACGCCTAAAGTAAAAGCCGATAACTTCAAGGAAACTTTAGGTATTTACCTGGTTGATGTTATTAATTGATTATAAATGAGAGATGGTTAATTTTTTTTTTTGAAAAAAAAAAAAATAACAATAATAAATTTATTTATAAAAATATTAGCTGTTCAATTGATGAATGATTCATCAGAACATGAAACATCTGTCGCATCAGATAGAGAGTCAAGTAATATGGTTCCAATTCATATCGGTAAAAAGAAAAGAAAGAATTCCACGAAAAATGAGGCAAGCGCATTTTTATCAGCGATCGAAGCAAGAGCCGCAAGGTAAAAATTTTTTTTTATCAATTTATTTATTAATTGAGAAGCGGAAGTATTTATTGCTTAACATTATTAAATTTTTTCTATAATAGCACCACGAGTTTAGTAAATCCTCCTTATCAATTCTGATATTCCCCTAAATTTTCATTGTATAAAGGTAAAAAAAGGTAAAACGAAACCATTCCTTTTTTTATTAGCGAGTTATGACATATTAATCATGAATTTGATAAACAAACAATTTGAACTTTCTAAAGTTGCAATAGATAACCATTAGCTATAAATATCGTATATATATATATATATTTTTAATTTTTAGATAGATATTATAATTTTCAATTATAAAAAATTCTACCTCTTCCATGGAAATTAGTAACCACGCAATGACATTGCGAATCCAATAATACCATCATACCATCGAACAAGGGTGGGAAAATGATGCCATTGCAAAAGGGTTTTTTTTAAAGGTGGTTTTTACAAACATCATATAAACATTATGAACATTTTTTTATCCTATCCTACTTTATACTTTCATTCATCTCTCACTCCATCCTTAAATTAGGTAAATCTTGCTAGTCTATTCCTTTTCAATTGATCATTATTCATAAAATTTTCTTTTTTGTTTTTGTAAACAAAATAAGAACTTTATTAAAAAGTTTTAGACTTGATTATTGAATTCAAACAATATTTAAAAAATACATTATGTTCATTATCAAACTGTTACAAGATACTATTCTCATTGACGAAGTTTAATACTACGAGAATGAGCGGTGGTCAAACATTGATTTACAACTTCAAGTAAATGAGCATTTTCAAGAGCAGCGGCAACACGTTCTTTATCGTTCAATTGTTTGTTAACTAAAATATTCAAAATTTTTCAATTAAATTCTATTACTTTTTTTAAAAAGTATATAACAAATGCTGGATTACACTTACCTGCTTGTTCAGATTGATGAGTTCCTTTTCTGACGTTAATATCAACTTTAAAACGCTCAGGTAAGGAACGAAGTAATCTTACTCGTATACATAAACCGATGAGAGTAGCCATGGAACAATGTGGTATAGTAGGAGTAAATTCTATTTTAACACGATCCTTATCATCATCAACTAAGACGTGCTCAAGTTGAGTCACGTTTAATTCTTCAAGAGTGAGTGGATGTTCAGGATCTGAAATTGATCTTATCAAGTCTAAAACCGTGTTTTTTTTTTGTTTTTGTTTTCTTATTAGTATAATGAATTTTAAAGTCGAGCCATTTGAAAGTAGGCATTCACAAGCCTTACCGAATACTTCCTGAGAGTCTATTATATCTTCAATATTTTCGTCTTCATCTTTAGCTGTTATGACTCTATGAGAAGTTTTTGAAGGAATATAAATTGTCGGGTTTGCATTAATAAGTTCCGGCATTTTCGCGTGAGAAAAGAAAATCTGGAGTAAAAATTTTTTTTAAAAAAAAAAATATTAAATTAAATACTTTGACAAACGCCTCTTATTAATCACGAGATTGAACTTTACTAGATTTAAATTGAATTCAAATGATCTTTTTGATTAAGATTATATTATATAATCGATTTGTCCGAAGATCAGTAAATAATTTGTACGTGTCACGTTAGGGTCGATATATTAAATTTAAATCAATAAATCAATATATGGGAGACCAGTAAAAAAGGGGGAAATCCAACCCGTTCAAGATCTAGATAAGTATTAATATCATCTATTCTATTTTTCAAAGTTTAAATCCTCATCTAATTTAGAAAGCGATCGTAAGCTTGGCTTAGAGCCCACGGTTTCGTGCAATGCAAAAATAAAAAATGTGCATTGCAAAATATGCAAATAAAATTTTTTATATAGTAAAAAATATACTTTATTATTTTATTGATTATTATAATATAAAAAATTTAACATTTCAATAGAATTTTCTGAAAGTGATCTACGTCTATCATCTAAAATTCTTTT